TGGGGGGGCTCGCCCCCCAAAATAAAAACCCTGGAAATCCAAAAAGGAAAAAAAAAAAAAAAAAAAAAAAAAAGGCATTTAATTTGTGAGTCAGTAGCATGCCAAAGGAAATGGAAGTAAAAAAAAAATTTTTAAAACATGCATTTTGAAGGGTCAGTATATTCCCTGCATTTCCATACCTGGAATGACTTTTTGTAGAAAAACAACAGTGAGATAGATACCATGATTTACAATACCATGTTCTTTACCTTACACCTCTTTTTCAGTGTCCATATAATCACAAGAGAATGTTCCAGAGGTGACCAGTAACACACTGGTCTCCAGCAAAAGCATCTCTGAAAACAGTATTTTGTGAAATGCATCTCTACAATACTTTGTGAGAAATTATATAACTGATAAAATGAGCTGGTTCCTATGATGTGAAGTGAGATCCTCTCCTTTAACTGGTAAAGGCCAGACTCATTATGTATTTTGTGTTCAATCAAAACGTCATTTTCCTCTAAGGAACAAAGAATTTTGTCCAAACTTCATTATAGAGATTGCTCAATCACAGATGGATACTGTTGAGAAGGCATATATAAAAAAACTACAGCTACAAAACGCTTCTGTGTTCCAATAAAACTATAATGGAATCACTGTTTATATTATATACTCCTTTATATCACACTACCACTAGAACATCCCAAATATCTATCTACAGAATAATACTGGGAAAAAAAAAATTAAAAATCAGATTAAAAATTACATAGTCGTTTCTCTACATAAGACATTACAGCTAGGAAAAATGAGTGGCTATGAGAACAGACAAAAAATGGCTAGTGCTTTAACTGCATCCCAATGGCATATCTGGTCTTGATAAAAAATTCCAGATGCATACAAGACGTTCCCTACCACCCTTGGCAACTGGGCAACAGTATTTTCCCTGTGTTGATATGACAGTTATCCCTAACAGCTGTTGGCATACTTATTTTCTAACTGGCATAATTACTGTCATAATCTCATGCCTTCAACACCGTTAGAAAGGAAATACAAGAACACTAAAGTCACTTTAAAAAATTAAATCATTTACACAAAGATATCTTCACACTACATAGCTTCCAACATCTAACTGTTCATCAAAAATCCCAACAAGCTAATACATAGAATTTAGTTTCACAAAAGAAAAAACAGCAAATGCCTAAATTTACAGATTACTCCGTCTTCACTTTCATCTTCACTTCACAAAAGTGATTTCCTTCTATCAGTGAGTTTTTCATGACAGGTCATACATGCAAAGTTTTGCCACAAGTGCTGTATATTCTACCCTCAATTTGAAGTTTGGTTACTGATCAAAGAACTCACTCCATTCTTAAGGGAAGTAGGATTTTCATAGTAATATCAAATAAAGATTTCCCTCCTGTGTTGTAAATTATTTGGATGAGCAAGTTTTATCAATTACTTTTAACAGATTCAAAACATGTTAACATGTTCTTACTCAGTGTGAAAATATCTTTGTACCAAAAATGCGCCATGAGACATGACAGCTATTCAAAGTAATTAAATTTGTGATACATTACCACTGTTCCATTATCTGGCATCATTGGTGTTCCCATATTTGCAGCTCCTTCTGGTCCCATGGAAGGACCAGGACCCATTGCAGGGCCAGGTAAAGTTCCTCTGTTGTTCATATTCATACCCATCATTGGAGGAGGGCCTTGGTTACCAGCAGGTGCTGGGCTAAACGCATCTATGCAAAACAATCTATACTTAGAGCTGTCCTATCTTAATTTTACAAGAATAAACAAACAATTTACAATATTTAAAAAGCCAAATGTACAAGACTTCCAATACTTGAAATAAAAAAAATGATTCTTTGAGACTGTACATTTATCTCAATCATCTGCTTTTAAACAGATTTTCATTAATCCCTATTATTTTGCATTACATAATCTGCCTCATGTATTTGAAAATCCTGAACTTTACAGCTAAATATAGCTGTACAGTTTCTGTGCAGGAATTGAAGTGTTCATATAGCATATATATGCAGTATACACACCACAAATTAGCAAAAATCTCAAGTGATTTTGCAGTAATTGGCAGCTATAAGGCAACTTGGTTCTTTAGGGATTATAACATATTCAATATACGTTAGCAAGAACTGTTCTACCAGTATTATGTTAACTGTATACAATGTTACAGTATATTAGTCTAACAACTAAAAGCAACGCCAAAGATGGTACTCAACTTCACAATTAATTATTCATAATATGGCATAAATAAATCTGGCATTTAAAAGTAATTTATTATAGTAAAAGTACCAGAAAACCAAGGGAAGCTTTGTTAGAATTAGAAGCGACAGAACAGTCTCCTCCAAAATTGTGATTCACAGTAAGAGAGAGAAGAAAAGCTTAAAGACATCTTTTGAGGAGATCATTTAGCTATAATGCTGAGCTACGAAACACCACTCTGCCAGTACCCACTAATATACTCAACAGGTAGGTAAAACTGCCTTTGTAACATTTTCTCATGTTGTTATAAGAAAGAAAAAAGTGTGATTATACATATCATTTACATCTGCTCTTACGACACATCATCAACTTTAAGACTGGTGGTGATGTGTTTTTTTCCCCCCACAATGATAAACAATCCTTTTCAGCCAAAAGTGTGCATCCAAAATTTGATAATGGAAGACGACATGCCTTTGGCATCTAGCCTGTTTTAAGTCATGACAACATAGAATAATATAAAGAAATCTGACATGTTGCCAGGCTAATAGAATTGTTATTTCAAAAATCAACCTCTCACCTCTCATCACAACTCTAACTTCTTTAGTAATGAATGTATAAATGCACATTATTGTAAGCAGACCATTTAGCACAGATACAGTACCATGACTACCTGCACGTATGCAAACTTGCATCTTTATTACCTGCCCTGCGTACAGATATCGCAGCAGTCAGTGAAACAGCTGCGTCCAAGGTATTGCAGCTGAAACTGCAGACCTGGGCTTGATCACATACATTATGCCAACTGCAAGCTGCTTAGCAAAACCAACCCATGCAACACAGTAGCACATATAAAGCGCTACACAAGTTTATTAGAAGCCATAGAGAAAAATCCTGTCGTTTTTAAAACCAGAACTCATTTGAGCTTAGTAATGAGAAACTCCCAAGACCTCTCCCTATGACACTGAGCCAAAACAAAGGTATGCGCAAGTTGGATGCTTCTTACCTACCCACAAGCATCATCAGTTCACGTAGCAGGTAGAAGATTGTGCTACAATTCAAGGGAATTACAGCTGAATATGCCCTAAAACTGTTTTTTAGTGTCATCCATCCAGTGACTAAATATGAAACGAAAAGGAGAAGTCTGAACTGCCAATATAAGGAGAAACCTTTATGTTCAGAGGCTAGAAGTACTCTGCAGGACTATCATGATGGCAGTGCTTAGTGCTGGTAGTAGTACCATTAACCAAAAGCAGTCAACACTCAATTATCTGTTATTGGCTTGCTTAGCAGCCTAACTGAAATTAGCCAGCTGGCCACACTTGGGTACCATTCACTTATCCCTCAACTGCAACGAAGTTCTTATCCTCTGTATCATACAAACGCACCCACATTGCTTCCAGAGTGACGTATAGTGACCTATACTATTGAACCTCTATTATTAAGCCAGTTTCATGCAGCTCTGATAGGAGGATAACTGGGGAGTGTAATGCAAGGAGAGAGCGGGGCCCTGCACAGTTTCAGCAAGAGGCCACTACGGCGTTTTAGCTATACCTCAGAGGTCCTCCTAGCTCCAAAGCAGACCCTAAGAGTGCACTGCTTGAGTGCCCATTCTTTTTGGTGGGACACTGATGTTAGCAGTTTATTCACTGGACTAGGTTCAACAACAGACGGAAAGCAGTCATCAGTGTTCATGCCACAATGTGCAGACAATAAAAAATGTCTTTTTGTGCAATCTGAAGGGCTGAAAAAGTATACTTTAAGTGACCAAACTGCACATGCCAAGGTCTGGCACAGCTGGCAACAAGCCACAGTCAATAATCCTCATCAATGCAGAGAGTTTTCCCAAAAAAGTATTTTTTTTTTCCCCATATTGAAAAGTTTATCAGCTGCACCTACCATTACAAGATCCAGTTAAGTGTTATTGTGAGGCATATAGATTCTCTCAGAACTTGTTTGCCACAGAAAACAATGTAAAAATGAGTGGTCCTGCACAAGTCAGCACAACACTAATTAAATCCGTCACAGAGGTACCTTGCTTTCTAATAACCCTATCATGCGGGTATTTCTGTTATTGAAGATACTCCAGCTCCCCGCTGCCCCACATGATGAAAAGTTGCAAATGGCACAGGTAAAGGCCAGTTAAAAATAAAGTTACATTTCCAACAGAAATGTTGAGAAAGGATGCTAAAATCAACAATCAACGGCCTACTATTTAAAGGTCTACTGCAGGTTTTTGGAGTCCTGTTTTTTTGGTTGTAGTAGTGGGGTTGTTAATGGGCTGGAGAAAAAAAAAAAAAACAACTCTACAGTGAGCTAACCTAAAATCCAGATACTGTGGAAACAAACACCACCTTTACCTATTCACTATGGATATTTTTCCCTTTTTAAAATACTAGTTCCCCGTTACCTTAACTTCTTTTGGAACCACACATTTATTTCTAAAAGCATTTGTATCAAGTTTAAAATCAAAAGTTATAGCACAAAGCTTACAAAGCAAGACTATGATGAACATCATTGTTAAGCATTAAAATCTGACAAGAAAAGGGCTGTGAACCGAGTACTATAAATACACATTTAAAATCTGTACATAAAAAGTGTATCTTGTGCATCTGGACAACTGGCATTAGTAGTTTCCACAGTATCACTAATTACCAAGTCTCCTAATTAAACGAAATTTTCAAGTAGACTGCAATAATATGCAAAAGTACAACTATAAAAAAAATTAGTCACAATTTATGCTTCAGCTTATTATTTGTAAATGACTTCACAATGACTTCCTTTAGAATTTTTTTAAAGCTCTTCATTATTCACTGAAAGAAAAAGCCTATTTCTATTTTGCAGCTATAAATGTGTCTCAGTTAATAAATGCAAGGAAATGGTGAATAATGTATTTTAAAATCTGGACCAAGCAGATTCATTAGTCTATAAATTCACATTACTCAAAAGGTCAGGCAACAATGTTCACTAGGTTTGGTATGTACATTCAAATTTAAAATATGCAAAAATAGGATTAACTTTTCTTAAAATTATCATCTTAATTTAATTTAAATGAACATCAGGAAGCTTCCAAGAGAGATATATTGACAGTTAATACAGTTTAGTAAGATTTTTTTTTTTTTAATAAATATTCTAAGTTTCAGTCTTGTTTAAAAGCAGATATTGCGGTTAAGTAAGATTTCAAACTGTTTCAGTCTGCATATATGGAGCAAGCACTAATTATTAAGAATGTAGCTTTCCAGACTTTACAGTAAGCTTTTAGGAGTGACAATAGGACAATAGTTTAGAGTCACAAAAGTGAACTGAGAATATTTGCAAATACAGACTTGCAATAAATTAGTAGAACACCAATCACGTTATTCATTAATCTTTTGTCAGGTACATCAACAATAACTTACCAATTTTAAGCTCTGCATGACTTCACTGCATGCAATTACAGTCACAACTTCTCTGAATAGGTAGTCCCTCAAAAAGAATGCCAAATACTTTCTGAACAGAAAATTCCTCTTTTGTAGCAGATAATTTCCAGAGCATCACCCTTCCCTGCCTTTTTGTTTCTCTTAACTTGCACATCATATTTTTCTCCCATAGGTAGTCAAAACAGTAAAATAAAGATACACATTGGAAAAAAACCCAGCTGTTTGTAAGCAGATTTTTTTATTTCCTAATACTGTTTACTCCTTTTTACCAGTAGTTGTCACTAATTAATAGTGCTTGAGTAACATGTACAGTCCCAAAGAAAAAGAAATTTTACATTACAGAAGCCTTTTCCTTCAGATCCCTACCTCCCATGTTTATTGCTCCACGAGGACCCATATCACCCATTCTCATTTCCTGTTCTCTCTGAAAGTAAACATAGTTTTCACGGTCAACCTATTATTCTTAGAACTTAAAACATTCCCATTTACTCCATGAAAATAAAAATTTTCAAGTTTCAGAAGTTTCCATTGATTACAAAAATGTACAAGAAATAAAGTTAACTATACTCCCCTGTTTTTATAAAATCAAATGGAATAAGAAGTTCAATATAGCAATGCTGTACATTTTTGCATAATGCTAAAGGTTAAATATCATAAGTTTAATTTATCAGATGCAGCCGTCCAAAATTCTCAAATAGTTATGTGATCTACTGCAAATGAATCGATCTTCACTCAATGTTTATCATTAACAAGAAGCAGTATATTTACATTTTAACTGTAAATAAAGAGGTCTTATTATAGTATTGCCTAAAGGCCATGGTTCAATAATACAGTCAATCTGGCTTCACGACTCAAAAATGCTTGTGTTGATTGGAAACCAAGCTCTGATGTGTTATGGTATATAAATTCAATCTGCCAGTTCATCTTTGTTCAAGTAGTTCTGACCACTTGGTGGTGGTACATTTTTTGATAAATTGTATCATGCTATTGTTATGTCAGTTCAGATACTGACCATCCTTTTGCAACCAGCTTAAAAATGTAGTATCAACATGAATTTATACTAAATAGACAAATAACACACCATATTGATCCAGATTTAATTGATGCTCAGTCATCCAACAGCAAAAGAGTTCTGACATTACTGATCATGAACCATGGCCTGCTGTGAAACAATACTCAAGAGATGCTACCCGGAGTGGCAAAAATCATCACTTAGGGGAAAAGACAGTACACTTATCACAGATAATTGCAAGGGATTTTAGTATTACTGTTTACATCAAAAGGATGAAATACAAACAGATTCACAGTTCAAAATGAAAACTAATGAAACTTGTACCAAAAATTTTTTTCTCATGAATTTTCTGCAAGAATGTTAATGTATATTCCACTCTTGAGTGAACACACGTATGCTGAGAATAAGCATATGCAAAAAAAAATTTACCTGATTCTGAAAATCATTCCACTTATGATTTAAGAGTGTAAATTCAGACGCACTTTGAAAACAATTCCATATACTAGGCAACTGACTCAGTCTTGCTAAAAGCAACCTTTAAACTGAAAAATTAATCATATCAAAATACATTCACAGTATTTTAATGGGTTCACAAAACTCCTTTTCATTCAATCATGTTTGGGATGCCAAACATGAGTCTTCTATCTTCATACACTTAAAGCAGCAGACACCAATATTTGACAGAACAGAGTCAATAGTTTTGTAAAAATATCCTGGTATGGGAAATTATCGTAAGATACGTGACAAAAGGATCTCAGGTCAATAACTTTGTTTCTAGAAACTCATATTTACCTGGAAAATGAACTTAACATAAGAAGATTATACACTATTTTCAAAAGAATATGGCTTAGTCTGGAGAGGAAAAGTAAGGCCTCATAAGTAAAAGATACAGGCAGTTTTAAGGTCTAGCTATGAAAGGCTGTTGATGAACACTAAGTAGGACCTCTTCTTCTGATCCTAGATGCCACATCAAACCTTTATAATAGAACATGCAACTACTTTGTCAGACCTTTCACAGTAATGTCAACTGACATTTTAAGTAAAATCAGCAGCCCTATTACGATCAAATGTACCCACTAATTGATACCAATGAGTTAGTCACAAAATCAGCAGACAACTTTCTTGATATTAGTTTGCTTTTACACCTCAGCCCTGACATGAAGAAGCAGAAGGAAAAGTGGTATATCATCCCTAATGTCAATCCCTAGCCCAACATGGTAGAAAACCACTGTGGCTACTGGTTTACATCACTCAGACTGTGCGTGAACGCATGCTTGCACATGTGCGTGTGTGGAAACAGGACATGCCACAAACAGCTGTGAGATACTCTTTAGCTACAAGGGAAAGTACCAGATTTCGAATTATTACACATACTTACTTGATGCATCTCAGGTTCAACTGCAAGCTGATGGTGTTTTTTTTAATGCAAAATGTCCCATATAAGGCAGGGCTGAGTACAATACCAGCTAGATAAGGATGTTAAGTACAGAGCTATAAAGCTGTACTAGTTACTAGAACTTAACTCATTTTCTTTGCAAAGGATAGAAGCATTGGCCTGCTATAACGTACACTTTTTTTAAAAAGCACACTACACTTCCTCCTAGCAATAAACCATTTTTTTCTCAGCTTGAAATGTTACCAGTCTTCAGTTAACAAGAAGTACAACAAAAGAGAGGGACAGAACCTATAATTATGTTTTTTAATCTAGTCTAACCTTTGTAACCAAAAACATGAATTATTTGCCATTTTGTAGCTTTAACTTTGGTGTTGAAGTATTACCATACAAAAAACATTTCAGCTATAGAATCAAGATCCATAAATGTGCCTTATGATCTCTGCTGCCTGTTAATCTATCAACATGTCTACAAGAATTATTTTTATTCCTACTGTTGCATGTTCACAACTTATCATGTTCTTTTGAATTTTCAGCACGGGGAAATTCTATGCGGTTAACATGGAATTAGCAAATTTATTTAAGATAAATCCCCTGTCAGAGAAAATACTCAATTTAAAATGTTAACTGACAGCATGTATCATTCATGTAATTAAATACTTGACATATTAGCTATAAAAACACGTGCTTAGATAATTTGCCAAAGCCTGTATGCGCAGGAGTCCAGATGATAACAAAGATTCAGTCATATCCCATGCAAATCATTTCCTAGACAGCTATTTACTATGTCAGCACAAACAATTACTGCAGGTAAGTTAGGTCAACTATTCCATGGGTTTCGCCCAAAATCCAACAGAGAAAGGAATACCAACAGGCAGTTATGACAGAGTAGCCGAACCAGTGCTGGCTGATATTCCAGCCCACCTGAGAGCTTCATTCTTGGATACTCAAGCCCTTTGCAGAACATAACGATAGCGTTATCTTCTCAGAGCTTCTTTTCCTCACTATGCGACTGCCCGTTCTTCTGTTGAGTAGCAGCCTGCTTCAGTCCCTTGCCTGAAGCCACCCATAACTACCCATAACAGGAAGTTAGAACTGAGCAGCAAGAGAGGAGGGCTGAACTTTTACTAGAGAAATACGTAGGGAGGCGATTAAGAACCTCTGAAGTCACCCGGTACCTGGGAAAACAACTTAAACTGGAAGAGAACAATAAAAATGGATGATACACAATTATAGGGGGAAAAGAATGTGTAGTAAAGTGTAATTTAAGCTTTGGGAAGATGAAAAGGGGGGGGGGCAAACAAAGAATAATATGCTATTATTGTAAAAGGATAATTCTTTATGCGACTCAAAAGAAATCTTTCCAAATGACTTCTGTTGCAGGATTCTTGTAAAATACCTCAGAACTCACTAAGGCAAACAAATCTCAAGAACGTCTGATTCATCTGAGTAATCTGCTTTTAGAAAAACTGCTATGGTGGCAACTATTGCATTATACTTGCTAATTACTTTAGATACAAGCATTAAAAACGAGATTTCCTCACAATTCCAACTCCTTTTAATGTCAATTGTAAAAAGTAGATCTACACAAAAATATCAAATACACCCAGTTTTCAAATTACATATATATTGTACATTTAATATAGTATGGATTCTCCCCTTTTTACAAGTATTAGACACAAGATGTCTTGAGCATTTGAGGTATATCATGCACAAGGCTCTTCTACCTCAACCACCATTGATACCAGTAGTCTAAGTATACCGAGAACTGCCAAGATGATTCTTCTGTTTTTTCTAAATATATTAGTGTATTTTCAAATTCACTCTCTAAAACCATGAAACTATTTTGAAAAGACACCTAAGAATTGATATAAGAGAATGTATCAGATGCAATTCCCTTCTCACATTGAAAATAAAAATACAAGTAGTTATAAAACTGTTTATTTCTTTTTTTTTATAACTGAAAACCAATACTACTTTTTTTCCCCCAGAAACAGGCCTTGCAATTGCAGCAGCCTGAAGAAAATTAAAAATCTTGTCTCCAAACGATGCAATATTCATGGTACCAAAACTGTCAAAAAAAATGAATAAATATGGCATGGAATATTTTAGAAAAGCAAAAAGCAAGATATCAACAGATATATTAAGATGACAAATCATACAGTTTTCTTCAAGTGTTTGTGGCCAGGAGATGCACTCCCAATTAACATAGGATTATTCACTCACCTTTCAGCTAACGAATGGTGACCAAAATAACACTAAGACACAGCATCAAAAAAATGCCTTATCAAAAAAAAAAGAACACTTACCCCATAAACTTAAAGTTGCACATTAAAATCAGTAAGTTAATTAGCACTTTACCTGGGTTGTATGTGTAGAGCAAAACGTAATTCACAGCGCTATTAATTCTCACCAGTTTTCATTAACACGGAAGCTGAATTCTATTTTCTAGCAGACTTTATGTTTGTCAAAATAGGCAAGACCTGTCTGTATCTCTTACTAGAATTCATTACTCCCTTCTAGACTGGTTTATTTCATTAAGTTCTTTCTAGAAAAGAAAAATTACTTCCAAAGACCTCTCCAGGAAGCATAAGTCCCATAAACCTTACACAGTAAACTGTAATTTACTGAAAGGCACCTATATTTTAAAGACATAAATCAAGCAAGTGGTTAAAATTGCTAGTTTGGCAGGCAAAACTAGAATTTGGGGGATACTTTTGATTGTGCGTTATTTGTCTTTCCTCAGAATATTCTACTGTTTCAATCCAATGACTAGGTCACTGGAAGTTAAGATGCCAGCAAGGAGTTAAAGTAATAAAAGCCTTCTCTTCCAACCACCCCTCTTGTCACTCTTTGGTTTATCCATCAATTAAGATTTATATGTTAAGATGTGAAAGTTACCATATCCCAAAATAGTTCATTTTATTCCATCACATGTAGTAATAGTGAATAATTTTGAATAAAAAATACTGATCATCTTTCAAAATCCAAGACTTCTGTGTGTTTCCGAGTACTGCAA